TAACTTTCATTCTGATGATGTGTAGAATAATTTGGGCCCAAAACAAATCTCACTGTTCATAAACTTGCAGACTTGACTATATAAGTCTGTGGGGTTTGAATAAATGCAGACCAAACTGTCGTTGTTTGTATTTACTTCCACAGCATGTCTTATAGAATTAACCGGAGTCATCAGAAACAGCAGAGCGCAGTCATATCTCAAGTCTATTACAAAATGCTTTTTGTAATTAAAGTGGAATTCAAAAATGAATTTACAAATGCAGATTTTATTAATTAATAACATTCTTGTTGTAATGACTAACTGCTCCTGACATGTTGGAGATGTTTGCTCTTTATACAGTAAAGTTACAGCTGGATACAAATAACATCAGGCTGATCCTGCCACGATTTTGTGTTTAAACCCATTTTGCACAGAGAGGCATTTTTTGAAAAGTATTGATAGCAATGTTGAATATTATTACACAGAAAAAACAACTACAGTAAAATAATCACATCGTGACGCCTCTGCCTTTGTAAATGGAGGGACAGTAACTGCTGTGTGTAGAAGCGTTAAAACTGAGAAGTCAGATTAACAGTATTTTGTCTCTATCTGCATTCTGCAATTCATCCTCATGTAAACAATAACGTGGCCACAGCGTGACGTGGAAAAAGGCGCATACCTCTGACGGTGTGTGATGAACTCTGTATTCCTCGTCCACACGTAAACGCAAAAAAGGAGTTTTAAAAAAAAATCTCAGTTTTCGGTGATTCGAAACGCCGTTTACGTGGACGAAACAGCTGCGTGTTCAAAATCACCTGTCGTGGACGCAGCGTAAAAGAGAACTGTCAAGAAAGTGTAAAACAAACACTACTGTTATTACTATTATTTCAAATGTAATTAAACAGAAATGTTCGTTACATGTAAAAGCAGTTTGCTTATGTTGTAATATAAGATTTTTTAGTCCCTTCAGGCCTCTGGTTACTGAGCCATCAGGTGCAGTGTTGTTAGGAATGAAAGTACAACACACAGGCGCAGCAAGACCAGAGAAAATACTGATGTGAGATACTCTGGATCAGATCCCAGTAACCATGTCTGAGATGAGCAGCCGGTCACAGGAGAGTGACATCAACTGTGAGGCTGCAAAATACCCTCGAGCGTGAGGAACAAGCCTGGATAGTTAAGTGAATATGTTACTGAGAGGGAGGATTGTGATCTAGTATTCACTAACATGCCCCAAACTCAGAGCAAAGGGTCAGTGCAATGGAAGAGGACAAAACAACACATTTCCTTTAACCACTTTGCCTGAGGGTGAGAACACAGTGGGGGGTAGATGGGTGCACGCAGTCATAAACACGGATCAGAACAATACAAGGCACGAAATGTTGCTAAAGGATAGAGTCAGACGATGGGCGTAGATTATGAAGAAACATTTTCCCCTGCTGCTAACCTGACTAGTATCAGGGCGTTGGTGCAAAAGGCAGCACAAGAAAACATCGTTTCACATGAGATGGATGTTAAAGCTGCCTATCTACACGCACCGATGGATTGTGAGGTATTCATGATACAATCACAGGGTTATGACGTGAAATCTGACACAAATTAAAAATGGTGAAAACAATCAGGCAGAAATCGGAACATGAATATCTGAGTGAGAGAAACTTTGTGCAGAATCCTGCTGACCATTGTGTTTGCACAAAGATGGCAGGAAATAAGAAGGTGAAGGTTTTCATAGTAAGGGTAGATGACCTGATCATTGCTGCCAGCGACAAAGTGAACCAACTGGTGTGAAGAAAATGCTGGCAGCGAAATTCAAAATGAAGGATTTGGGTAAACTGAGACATTTCATTGGAACAGATTTTGACCTGAGTGATAAATGTGTAAAAATGTCACAGAAACAATATGTGGAAGAAATACGTGAAAGGTTCAACATGCAGGACTGCAATGCTAGGCTGACACCTTGTGAGCAAAAACGGAAGTACACAGAGAGGCAGTGGGCCGTCTGATCTATGTGGCCACATGAGTTTTATAGTCAGTAAACTTTCACAGTACTCAACCAACTGAAGACCAATGGACTAAGATATTTGTGCGCCGCCAAAGGTTTATGAACATAACCAGGGTGCCATGGCGTTGGCTGTAAACATGTTGACAGCATGACTTTGTGAGGTCAACTGTGAGTGAAGGAAAAATAACTTTGGATTATTGTCCATGGTGGCAGATGTAATGACAAAACCTACAACAAAAAGTTGTTTAATTTTGAAAAATGTGTGTTTGGACATTAACCCGGTACATGAACATGTACACAGTACTGGGTGAGATGCAGAGAGGTGTCTAAGAAACACCCAGTGCATCATGGGAATCCCCAGCAGCCTGCACCTATTGCAGCATAACTAAGGGAGGATTCAGGGTCACCTGGTCCAGCCCTAACTATATGCTTTAGCAAAAAGGAAAGTTTGAAGCCTAATCTTGAAAGTAGAGATAGTGTCTGTCTCCTGAATCCAAACTGGAAGCTGGTTCCACAGAAGAGGGGCCTGAAAACTGAAGGCTCTGCCTCCCATTCTACTTTAAATACTCTAGGAACAACAAGTAGGCCTGCAGAGCGAGAGCCAAGTGCTCTAATAGGGTGATATGGTACTACAAGGTCATTAAGATAAGATGGGGCCTGATTATTTAAGACCTTGTATGTGAGGAGCAGGATTTTGAATTCTGGATTTAACAGGAAGCCAAAACAGAAGAAATTACTATTTATATTTTATTCCTCATTTGACAGAAATGAAGGTGAAAATCTTTTTCTTTTACTTTCACTGAGATCACTGGTGTGTGATGTGTCTGATGCTGAGAGACCCCAGAACTGTAAGAACAGGATTGTTAGGCTGCATCTCCTGACCCAACAGTAATTTTGAAATTAGCTAGTAACAGCTAATGTACTTCTGGAGACTAGAGTCTATCACACTTTGGTAATAAAGTAAATATAATATGTTCAACACTGAATTGATTGTATTCCTGATGGACTGAGCAGTAAATGAAAGTCTGCCACCGGTTAGTCCAAAAAAAGGTTTTTTATTTAACGCAAAAAACCCAAACTTTGGTTAAATTATACATGAATCTAAATCTCAGGTCCATAAAAGAGGTCAAGTAACAGAACTGGACTCAAAAGCTGGCAACAAACAATACTAACACAAACAAACTGACCTTCTAAAGGAGACTTAAATAATGTCTGATCAGCCTACAAAGACACAAAAAGAACACACAAAAACCTAACTGAAACTAACATAACAAATTCCATTTACCCCCCATGATCCAGAGTAGTAGTATGACCCAATTTGCAGGTCTCCATATAGGCTTGCTCCGCCCCCTTTTCCACCTCCTAGCTCATCAACCAGCTGCCACTGACGTAACGCAGAAAACAGAGAAAGATTAAATCATACAAATAGCAGTGTAAGCTGACATGTGCACACTTGCTTTACAGTATTGTGTGACTGTATAAATTAATTAATTCTAAACCAAAACCAATTCTTTATTACCCTGTAAATTATATCCTATATTTAAAGAAAGAAAAACAAAAGTGTAGTGTGATGCACACGTTTGGTAGCTGCAGCGTCCTGATTATTCCAGAGAGTGCTGGGAGTCACAGAGTAGGCCCTGGTCTGTGTTCAATACTGAACAAATGTAAACTTTTTAAAATTATGCAAAATGCAAAACGCCGTGTCTCTAATCAAACTTCTGTAACGTCAGAGGTGATGTTCATATGTTAATGGTTTTCTTTTGTTTTTGATCGACTGCAGAATATTTTTATAAAGTCCCAGAACAGGAAAATCTCTTTACTGATCTGAATTATAATATTTCTGACTGTCTGAGGCAAAATTTCCCAGATTCAAATCGAATCGAATCGATTCTAGAAACCAGGGACGATACCCAGCCCCGGTGGCTTTGCCACCCACCTGTCGAGGGGTGCAAAGAAGAAAACTGAGGTTTTCAGACTCCTGTCCTGCCTGCAGAGGTCCCTCCATGTCCTCACAAATTCCTCCTCATCATTGTTGATCATTTATAGTCACATTGCTGCTAAGGAAAGTTTCAAAGCTCCAAAACTCAAGAATTTACCTAATTTTGTTCTGTGTACAGGTACAGCTCAGTGGGTCCAATAAAGGTTCAACAGTTCAACAGTTTGTGTTCAGAAGCAGAATTTATTTGTCATTTTGACAAGAAGACAAATTTTATGAGAAATCAATGAAGAAACACCAATTCTAAGGAGTTAACTAATGTTTTTTGTCAAATACGAGTCAGAATTAAAATTCCACTGTGAAATCTTTTTGTTTGAATAAAGGTCAAGTTCAATTAGAATGATGAGAGTCATCGTCTTTATAGCTTCACACGTCTGAAACGCCCAACAGTCCCCCAACAGCTCCACCCACTGAAGAAGCCGCCCAGTTCCACTTAGTCCTCTGTCTGCACCACACAGCACAGAAGGTTGGACTGGTCTGACTCCCAGTTTATCTCATTATAGTGAATCAGGGTTATCCATCCATTCTCCTCCACCTATCAGGGTTGCAGGTGGACTGGAGCCTATCACAGCCCTGCTCAGGCTGTCAATCTGACCTGGGCTAACACAGAGACTCAACCAATCACACTCACATTCAGACCTGTGGGCAGTTTGGAGTCACCGAATAAGCTAACCCCACTAACTGAATCAAAAGACAAAAGTTTGCACACCCCATGATTCAAGCCTGTAGAGCCACCTTCATCAGCAAGTCATTTTCTCTGAGTCATTGCAACAGCTTAGCTCTTGTCTTGGGATCATCGTCCTGCTGAGTGAGCTAATACCAGATGCCCAGGTCCATCACTGTGCTGACAGGGTGTCCAACTGCAGGCCTCGAGGGCCGGTGTCCTGCAGGTTTGTGTGTCCTGTGTGACCAGATGCAATTTCACAAACCTACATTTGGTTGTTGTTGTTGTCGTTTGGTTTTTTAAACAGAGAAGAGGTTTTTCTTTCACACTTGCTGATGATTGACATGTTAAAAGCAGGGTGGATATACAGAGGTTTTTATTGGACTCCTGTGAAACGTTTTCCACACTGACTTCACATTTCTACAAAGTGAAAAATCACTTTTCATACTCATTGCAATAAATAGTTACAACTTTGACAATTCTGTGCTTTAAGCCACGTCTACACTACAAGTCACACGTTTGTCACACATCACTTTGAAGTGTAGCCCGGTCGCATGTGAACATTGCAGGCTGTACAGGTATCCTTCACTTGTGCTCTTAAAGTTCTCTGAACATTTCCTTGACAAAGCATTTGCAGAAAAACGTCTGTGTGATGTCCTGGTAAATGTGCTTATTTCTGCTGAACAGTATCAATGTCTAAAAGTAGTTGTCACACATGGACCGACAAAAACGTGTAAATCTGGAGGTCAGCTCTTCCAGTCCCAGGGGACACACAGGTCTCCATCTTGCATGACAGAGTAGAAGTGAGAAACACAGATCTGGAGGCCTTGCATGTGGGGGGAGCGCTGCTCCAACAGTCTTTCACAGCATTGAATCATCTGGGCAGGGCTGACACTGGGCTCCTTAGACAAGCTCCTCAGAGACAGAGTCTCAAGACACAGCTTCACCACGGCCTCCTCCTCTGCCTGCAGTCTGCACACAAACAGGCAGGTGACAAAGTCAACATACAGACAAACAGGATTCTTAATAAGCACCAGATAGAAAAACTCTCAGGCTGCGTTCACTCTGCAGGTCTTGATGCTCAATTCAGATTTTTTGATCAAATCCGATGTTTTTGTCTGCTCGTTCACACTACAAATAAAATGCGACAGCAAACGTGCTCTAGTGTGAACGCTCAAAGCGGCGCATGTGCAAAAGAAGACGTCACACACAACGCGCTCTGTTTAGACCCAGAGCAACAGTATGTGTGACTGATGGCCTTAATATAAAGACTTCAGACTTTACGTTTCCCAATTTTTGCTTTAAGTTATTTTGTTATTTACATAATAATGTAAATAACCTAATAATGATCCTTGTTGCTGTTTTAGAGGAGCGCTGCTTCTAGCTGCAGGTTTCTGTCAGAATCTGCAGATTATACAGGACAAATAAAATGTTCACGTTTCTCCAACGTTGTCGTCCCAGCAGTTTCACTGGATGGCCAGGAAGCGTTCGCGATGTCTTCTCCGGCGCTGATAATTGGCGTCTGTCTTGTGTCAGTGACGTAAAAGACGGATTTAATGCGACGTGACCATCAAACAGCAGTCGCTTTCTAAAACATCAGATATGTATCGGATTCAGCACCACATACGAAAGTGACCCAGGATCGGATTTGAAAATATCGGATTTGTGCCGTTCACACTGTCACACCATGATGGGATATGGGTCGCAGAGGGTCAAAAAATGGATTTGATGCGCTTTCGCCTGCAGTGTGAACGCAGCCTCAGTATCTTTTGTCCTCATGTTGTTGTATTCGTTTGTATTAGTGTTACCATGATTGGGTTCCTATAATGAACTCTGGGTGATAAGTTAGCAGCGATGCAGGTGGATGCTTCTCTGGTGTCCTGGATTGTTGATTACCTGACAGGAAGACCACAATATGTACGTCTCCCACAGTGTGTGTCTGACAAGGTGATCAGCAACACAGGGGCACCACAGGGGACTGTCCTCTCCCCCTTCCTCTTCACCCTCTACACCACAGACTTCAGCCACTGCACAGAGACCTGCCATCTTCAGAAGTTTTCTGATGACTCTGCGGTGGTTGGATGCATCAGCAGGGATGATGAGACAGAGTACCGGGCTGTGGTCGACTCCTTTGTCACGTGGTGTGAGCAGAATCATCTGCAGCTCAACGTGGCAAAGACCAAGGAACTGATCGTGGACTTCAGGAAGACCAGGAAACACTTGACCCCTGTTTCAATCCAGGGGGTCAGTGTGGACATTGTGGAGGACTATAAATACCTTGGAGTACACATTGACAATAAACTGGACTGGGCTAAAAACACCACAGCACTTTACAGGAAGGGCCAGAGTCGTCTCTATTTTTTGAGGCGACTGAGGTCCTTCAACATCTGCCAGAAAATGCTCAGGATTTTCTACGAGTCTGTTGTGGTCAGTGCGATCCTCTATGCTGTTGCATGCTGGGGGAGCAGGCTGAGGGTCGCAGATGCCAACAGACTCGATAAACTGATCACAAGGCCAGTAATGCTGTGGGGACGGAGCTGGACTCTCCTAGGGTGGTGTCCAGGATAAAGACAATCATGGATAACACCTCCCACCCACTGCATGACGTACTGGCTAGTCAAACGAGCACGCTCAGTGAGAGACTGAGATTACCCATGATGCACCACTGAACGACACAGGAAGTCATTCCTGCCCGTGGCCGTCTCCCCGTACAACTCCTCCATCCAACACACTGTGAACACTGCAATAGTTTCACCCTTTTTACACACACTCTTTCTACTCTAATATTCTTGACATTTATTACTTGGTGACTTGCATATATTGTGCTATCCTCTGATCTTAACATATTGTGTTGATAAACAGTCTAGTTGGTTTTTGTTAATGTTACTTTACTGGAGCAATCCTAAAGTATTCTGATTCTGATTGATTGAGCAAGTTGACAACAAGATCTCAAATTCTAACAGTAAACACAGCGACTGAATAGACTAAAAATAAAAACTAGTAATTTCAATCAACACCGTCTAGTTAAACTTGGGCAGTTGTAGGTGTGGTGGTCACATTGTATAAAGCAGTCATGGATGTAGGCGTGTGGGGGTTCTATCACAGAGGCAGTGCTGGGTACGTGCTGCCCCATAAATCGGCCTTCATGGAGTTCCAGCTGTAAATCGTATTACTGCTGGCAGGAGCAAAATCACTTATGATTGTTGCTTGACAACGTTTTTGAAATTGTTTCTGCAAACATGCTAGCATCTCGTAAGAGAGGAAAAATACTAAATATGATATAAACTATAAAAAGACCCCTCCCACCCCCCCAAAGAAAGACAGCATGCAAACAGACAGACTACGTCACACTCACTGGTTTTTGCGTTGGATGCGCCGTCGGGCTTCAGGGGCCTGGTTCTGAAGGAAGACCTGTAGTGTAGGAAGATCACATTTGATGGGAATAACGAAGTGTCCCATCTCATGAAGACTGGGGTTGGAGCGGTCACTGGAAGAGACACAAACATTAAATAAACTGCACGTGCTTGTGATGGTCAGTGGTTAAAAGGGTTTCGTACTTTTCCAGCAACATGGTGAGGCCCTGCAGACTCCTGGGGTGCAGACGAAGGTGGTGGGACATGAGACGTTTGTGGAAGGTGTTTAGGGAACTGTAGTGCTCAGCTATGGGCTGAACTGGTCCCAGTCTGTCCATGTGCACCACTTGGGTTCCACCCAGGAGGAGGCTGATCCTCTCCTTCAGCCAGTGTGTCTGCTGCTGCAGGCTATGATAACCAGGCAGCTGCTCAAAAAGCTGGAGGCACACAGCAGGGGTCAGAAAACGAAAGGCAGCACAGAGACTATACATGCCAGCAGGACAGCCACAGCTGCATTACTTTTGTCCACTGATGATGAACATCCATGGTTCCCAGCATGACGTGTCCAGAGGCATTCATCCCTGACTGGTCGGCAAACACAACCGTATGTCCTGGTAAGAAGACGAGTGCGTGAAAACTGTTCTACACATCTACACGCAGTGGCAATGCTCCCAAAATGATGAGATACCCACTCTTTCCACAGAAACAGGTCTCTAGGATATGATCACTGTCTGAAAACACATCAGAGGTCGATATGAAAACCACCCGCTGATGGAGGACGTGACTTTGTTTGGTGAAAACAGTGTTTGATTGAAATAATCGTGCTAAAACAAGAGTTTACATGTTCTTTAATACCGTAAATCATCTCTAATAACCAAAATATTAATCAGAGTCTTACTGATATGCTGAATGAGTAATGATGGAGGATGATTCGACCCTGGCAGATCAGGATGTGAAAGATAAGAAACCTGTCTCCAGCCCGTCGTTATGGTTGTATTTCCTCAACACAGAATCATAATATAAATGTGATTGTGGTCAAAGTTAATCATGCTTAACAGCTTAGAAACTGATCAGAAGATAATCAGTTATAAGTTCGACCATTACAACTAATAAGAAAATATAATCTATGACATGATTCTGATAAAAAGGACCTCACCGAGACTCTGTACAGAGCAGCCTGTTCGGGCAAAGATGGCCTTGGCGGCTGTGTGTGTGTGTGTGTGTGAGGATGGAGTGACACACTAAGAAGCCAGTAACCTCAGAGAATCTCTGACTTTACCATGCATCATTTTAAAACAAGTTATATAGTGATTAACAAACCACAAGCCAGTTTTGGAGGCCGTGGACTGGAGGGCCAGGTCCTCTGCCTGCCACCCAATCAAGTAAGCACCAAACCCCTACGGCCCTCCTGTGGAGGGTGAGCCCACAGGAGGAGGGAACCATGTGCTATTCCTAGATGTGCCCAGCCAAGAAACCCCTGAATTGTTCCCCTTCAGGTTGGGGAACTTGTTCCCGCGTTAGGGATGAGTGGAACTGACAGACAGTTCCAACCGTCGGTCACAAGCTCTAAAAGAACGAGGCTGAAATAAGACATACGTGTCAGAAACGAGTCTCCTTTGAAGAGTGGCGGGGCTGTGCCTTCCAGACAGAGGGAGGAGCTCACTCATTGGAGAGGCTGCGTTCACACTGCAGGCGAAAGCGCATCAAATCCGATGTTTTTGACCCTCTGCGACCATCTATCCCATCATGGTGACAGTGTGAACGGCACAAATCCCATATTTTCAAATCTGATCTGGGTCACTTTCGTATGTGGTGCTGAATCCGACACGTATCTGATGTTTTAGAAAGCGACTGCTGTTTGATGGTCAGGTCGCATTAAATACGTCTTTTACGTCACTGACACAAGACAGACGCCAATTATCAGCGCCGGAGAAGACATCGTGAACGCTTCCTGGCCATCCAGTGAAACTGTTGGGAAGACAACGTGAACATTTTATTTGTCCTGTATAATCTGCAGCTATCCTTTGAAGCAGCGCTCCTCTAAAACAGCAATAAGGATCATTATTAGGTTATTTACATTATTATGTAAATAACAAA